GTGCAAAGATAATCATCTCTGGTAACCAAACAAAAAAATACATTTATCTAAGGTTCGTTTCTTGTCTATAGAAATTTGAATGTCCCTTCGCAATGCACAAATTCTGTCATCTTAAATGGATCCATCACTTTTGAAGTGTTCGAGCGAAAAACCCTTAAAAAATAATAGCATATTGAAAGAAGTACAAGTATACAATTCATGGCATGGATAATCAGCAATGAGATGGATGAAAAAATAGACCCATTTTATCAATGAAAAGGTATAGTAATCCAATGTATGATGAGCCATTCAAACTTTATGGGGCAACCAAAGAGGCCCTACGTAGGTGAGTTGAGGGTTTCTTGAGTTAAATGAAACATAAACGAGTTCTTTACATACCTGAGTGTCGGTAACTGGTAAAACATGAGCTTGCACTGGCGAAAGCCATAATGGAAAATCCCCCGCATAATGCTCTATAAGGACTCCAAAGAATCTCTCCAATGACCCAAGAACAGCTCTATGGATCATGATAGGCCGCTTCTTTTCCGAGTTTGAGTCAACATATGTTATGTCAAAACGCTGTGGTAGGTTAAAATCAACCTGTACAGTTTGGGAAATAAAAGATCAAACAATTGTAAAAAACAAATAAAGTAGCTTTAGTTTATCAAAAAAAACCATGTAATTCACTCCGCTCAGAAATATGCTTAAAATCTCCCATGAACATTTTACAAAGTGATACAGGGAGAGACAGAGAGACTATACCAAATAAAAACATGCATTAAAATTTTTCCCATTAACAAGTTCAGGACTTACCTGTATAGTTGAGCACTGCCACTTCCTTCCAAGGGCATCCTCAATCTTAAGATCAATCTTTGGACCATAAAAGGCACCACCACCTTCATCAATTTGATAGCTCCAACCTTTATCATCCAAAGCATCTCTAAGGGCAGATGTTGCTTTCACCCATATATCATCATCTCCAACAGCTTTCTCTGGCCTCGTAGATAGATTGACTTCATAATTACTGAAGCCAAATTGCAATAAAAGTTCTTCGGTAAGATCTAGGACACCCCTGATTTCATCTTTGATCTGATCTTCTAGACAAAATATGTGTGCATCATCCTGCAAAATGGTCCTCAGGTTAAACAAAAAACACTTTGTAGATCTAGGAGTATAGACTAACAGTTCGGAAATGAGATACTGACACCATACCTGAGTAAAACCTCTTACACGAAAAAGGCCATGCAAGCTTCCAGATAATTCATATCTATATACGGTTCCCAACTCAGCAACTCGAATAGGGAATTCATGATAAGAGTGACGCTTCCTTTTGTAAACCAAGATATGATAGGGGCAGTTCATCGGTCGAAGCTGATAAAGTTCATCCTCAACATTCATCTGATCATACATATTCTCTCTGTAATAATCCAGATGACCACTTATCTGCCAAAGGTTTGCCTTTGCAACATGTGGAGTATACAGCAAATCATAACCACGTTCTATGTGGATCTTTTTCCACAAATCTTCTATTACATGCCTCACAATAGCACCCTTTGGATGCCAGAACACTAAACCCCCACCGGCATCATTCTGTAAAATTCACCAACTAAAATGTTCAATGCAAGAACCCTCATACCAAATAATTGCCATTAATGGAACTGCTAATGATAAATCTGTGTAAAGAACAAAAAGAGAGGCAATCCACTTCAACTTGACTACCTGTAAAGAAAACAGATCAAGAACTTGACCAAGGCGCCTGTGATCTCGACGTTTAGCTTCAGCTTTGAAATGAAGATATGCCTTCAATTGTTCTTCGCTCTCCCATGCAGTGCCATAAATCCTCTGCAGCATGGGTTTCTTTTCATCTCCTCTCCAGTAAGCACCAGCAATAGACTCAAGTTCGACAGCTTTTCTGTTAATTTTTCCAGTTTTTTCAACATGAGGCCCCGCACACAGGTCCCACCATTCATCGCCTATGAATAATTTAGAATAATATAAGGAACTATGACATGAAAACATTTTACTCCAACTAGATGCCAGTTCAAAACAAAATCAAATCCCAGGACATGCATTATGCATATGGTAGATCATTTAAGCAAAGTTCGTGCATATGAAATCATCATCTTTCATGCTACATTGAATAATGTAGAAAACCTTACCAATGTGATATATGGTAATGGGATCTTCCTTAATACTATCCAAAATTTCCAATTTGTATGGTTCGTTGAGAGCAGTTATTCTTCTGTGAGCTTCATCTCTTGAAACTTCCTCTCTTATAAGTGGTAAATTCCTACCAATGATGCGATCCTACAGATGACATGAAAAAACTAATGAATACTGGTCAATGCTTTCATGGTTCCCAAGTTTTGAAAAAAAAAAATTTAGTAACTGAAACATAAATTCTACTTACCATTTCCTTCTTGATCCTCTTCAACTCTTTGTCTGTCAAAGGCTCCATATCAAAATCATAATAGAACCCATTTTCTATCCACGGACCAATTGTTACTTTTGCATCCGGGAAGAGCTTTTGAACAGCCATGGCCATCACGTGTGCACACTGCAGTCATACAAATAAATGGTTCATCCTCATAGTAACCGGAAAGGCACCATCGATACCAAATTCCGAGGAAATTCATATAAAGGAACATAGCTCAAGCTCAACACTTTATTGAAAGACAGAAACCCATGTAACTTCTCACATTCCCAACAACAGGATGAAAATTTTCCCATCTTATCTACTGCTGTAAACCCATTTTTCCGGGTCCTATTCGATCAAATTACCGAAAAGTAATGTTCTTTTTTTTTCTATCCCACTTCCTTGCTCTTCACAATAGAATTAAATAACAAGTAGTAACATAGAACTGGAAATAGTTGCACAAAAGCATCAAGTTTCAAAAAATAAAATAAAAGTTCCTAAGAACCTAAAGATCCATATATTTCGACACGAAAGCACCTCCTACTTCAATTTAACATAACACAATCATAAATCCAATCAAAAAAATGAAATTTCAATACGCATAGAAAATACCGTGTGTCGAATTCTGAGCAGGCTCTCCGAGGACTCGTTGGTTGGAAGCACGACTTTCTCAGGCTTATCAGTTACCTCCATCTCGGCATCCTTCAATTTTTCGTCTTGGGTCGAGACCTGAGCCTCCGTGGTCACCGCCGAGAAGGTGGAGACTCCATTTCTGCCGTAGAGGGCCAGAGCCCTGAACTCGGAGCTCAGTGGCGAAACGCAGTGTTTAATCGGGGAAAGGAAAGAAGGGGTCTTCAGGAGAGGGATTGAGAGGAAGGAAGAAGAAGTGGCCATTGCCATTCTCTGAAGAATTAACATTTGGGTTGCGTTTGAATTTCAGAATTATGGTTGTGTTTGTGTGTAACGGTGGAGGGTGAGTGAGAGTCGTGTTTGTGACTTTGTGGTGGAGGTTTGGCTTTGGGTTTTCTCGAGGACTTGTTTAAAGAAAATATTTTTGGATTTTAAAATATATGTATTTTTAAGGAGTAATTCGTGTCTCAAAAGAATTTGTATGTTTTTAAAGAGTGATTTTAAAAATATTTTGATTAAAAGTATTTTCAAACGAATTTTTAGAGTCAAATCTTAGGATTCAAAATAAAAAATGAAGTCAAATGGTGCGTTTTATAATAAGAAATGAAATCTAGTGAAAATAAAAATAAAAATTTAGGATTCAAAATTTAAGAAAATGCTATCATGATGAAATTTTACATATTTAGAGGAGAATTGGGTAAACAATAGTTTCACACGTCTGAGGAATTTTACTCATATTCACTTTTATAGGACTATAAACAAGAGTAGCCAAACTGAGATTGTAATATTTAAATTTGACTTGTTTAATTTATTTTTCAAGCTCAAATTAGATTGTCTTACTTTCAATTGTTATACGAGTCTATCTCAAGCCAGCTTAAAAAGTTCAAGCTCAACACCAAATTGATCTATTCGAGTTATCAGCTTGGAAACACATAAATCATGTAACACAACAATTTCAAACATAATAATGTAAAATAGTTGCATAAAGATCTCTTTCTTTTATGAATCTTTAAGGTTGGAAGCCAATGAGAGGCTGCATGGTCATCACACATTTATAGTATCTTTAGAAACAAAATAAAACAAAATAATATCAATCTCCATCTTAATAAGGAAAAAGCAAACCGAAGATGGTCAATCTAAACTTAGAGAAAAAGTATTAAACATAATTCATCAAAAACAAAATTTCAAACATAACTTTCTATGCCAAGCAAACTTTTTGAATAGAATCTAGTTAAAGTTGTCTCATAAAAAGTTACCAGCTACTCACGAACTTTACCACTCAAATGTACGAATGTGAGAGCTTGTTTCTTATACATTCAAACCTAAACTTGACTTGTTTCTTTCATAAGCTGAGCTTCAACGAGCCAAACACAAATTGAACCTTAAGTAAACTCAAGTTATTTCATGCTGATTTACAACCTTAGGGTTCAACTCGAACCATCTCCAAGTCTGACTAGATTTATAGACAAATTAAGGCAAATAACTCTAACAAGGGTTTCGAGACCAATTCATGAAAGTTAGGGTTTGTCCAAAGAAAAGTCCATCGTCGCACTCTATGTTATGTGCTAGGTAATCTTATGTCTACAACGACATAAAGAACTTAACACAAATCCTAAAACGACAACAATGTGGAAAACATTCTTAATTATTGTGTAACTTATAAATTAAAGCTAAAAACATACCGATACAGCGAAAAAACAAATGCTCCTCTAGTTTTATCTTCTTATCCTTTTTGCTCTTGCATTCTAAGCCTGTATTTACTATTTTCTGGTTGCAGTAGTTGTAAATCCAACCTACATCTAGCTTTCTGTGCCTCTAGAACCTTAATCCTCTGTCAGCACATATATCCTTCCAAGAAAATTGGCCCCTACCCTCATTTAGATTCCACGTGTCACGAATTGATTAGCAAGTTTATCCCCCTTATCAACGGTTCCTATATTTGTAGATTCCAACAACTCTTTGTTGTCCCAAAAAAACCGGTATGGATTGTAGATTCTAAAATTTTCAATCTCTTCTCTTTCTTCCTGCCTTCCTCTTAAACCCTAACATTCTGAAGTCGAATTCCAAATGTAAAGTAAGAAAAGTAGGGGAGGTTTGAATGAAGAGTTTATTGTAATGGCAAAAAAGTTGACAATCAAGGGTCTTTTCAAGCCTAAGGCGAGAACGCCGATAGAGCTTGTAAAGCACATGTGTGAGCTTCTAATGTTCGTTGATCAAAATAATGATGCGCGTGAGCAAAAGCGCAAAGAAAAGGTTTGAATTTTTCACTCGTATTGTAGAATTGTATATGGAGCATGATTGTTTGATTGGTTTTTCTCTTTGAGTTTTGAAAAATCGAACCCTACGACACAGAATTTTTTTTTTGCAATGCACTTTAGACATGGAATTTAAATTTTTGGGGTTGTGTAGCTTATTAAGCGTATAGAGTGACATGGAATTTAAATTTTTGGGGTTGTGTAGCTTATTAAGCGTATAGAGTGAGTATGGTTTTGAAATTAATGATATTGTTAGGTTAATGACATTTGCTTTGAACTTTGTTATAGATGGAAGAATTGACAAAAGCAATATTGGAGATAAGAACTATTGTATATGGAGATGATGATTCAGAACCAAACAAAGATTCTTGTGCACAACTAACCCAAGAGTTTTTTAGGGAGGACACTTTCAGGCTCCTCATTGTTTGTCTTTCACAGCTCAACTTGGGGGTAAGCGATATTTAAATGAGTTTATATGCCCTATTGCATTATTTAAGCATGTTACATTTGTGTTAATATTTGAGTACATGTGTTGTAGGATCGTAAAAACGCTACTCATGTCATTGCAAATTTACAAAGGCAAAAGGTTCAGTCGCGTTCGATCGCATTAGAATACTTGGAGAATAATATTGATATTATGGACATTCTGATAAAAGGGTAAGAATGTACCAGTAATGAAGTTCAAAAATGTACATGTCCATTACTGGAGTTAAAATAAAATATTAATGAACCGTTTGTTTTGGTTTGGTTTAGCTATGAAGACAGTGGTGATATTGCTCTATCTTATGGTGCAATTTCAAGGGAATGCATTCGTCATCAGAATATTGCAAGGTAGCGCTTTGTTTTGTAATTTTAGTGTCAAAATTTATCATTTTAAATGAGCTTGTATATCATATAATGAATCATTATTGTTGATTAATGTCACAGGTATGTCCTCGAATCAGGTCACATGAAGAAGTTTTTTTATTACATTCAAACTCCAAATTTCGACATAGCATCGGATGCTGCGGCTACTTTCAAGGTTTGGTCCATTTCAAACACTTACAAGATTTTAACGAATGATCATTTCACTACCTTGATCATTAACTCATTGTCCTTCTTTGAACAGGAGCTCATGACTAGGCACAAATCAACTGTTGCTGAATTCCTTTCTAAAAACTATGAGTGGGTAAGATTCATAATCTTCATGAAATAAAATTTCTGGTTGTTTGGAAGTTGGCTAGTATTTAGATGCTTTTAGCAATTTGGGCAGTCAGCAAATCACAGATAATAATTACTTAAATTTCTAAATCTATCATGTTTTACTTTTTGCAGATTATAAGTTTCAATATTTGAATTATTAATTTATCTTTTTCTGTGATTTTGATTCCAGTTTTTCCAAGAGTACAATTCCCAGTTGTTGGAGTCTCCCAATTATATCACCAAACGCCAGGCCATCAAGGTATTAAAATTTACAGATTATTTTTCAGCTGATTTTCTTGCATACCATTCAATTTGTTTCTCTATGTTATTTTCGTCTTCAGAACCATAATTGTTATTATTGACATGCATCTCGTAAATTTGTTTCAGTTGTTAGGAGATATGTTATTGGATCGCTCAAACTCCGATGTGATGGTTCGATATGTGTGCTCTCTGAATAATATGATAATCCTAATGAACCTTCTCAGGGTATAGAATCCCTCTCTCTTTCTCACACGAGAACTTGTCGTATAACCAGAAATATACACAGTGATATAGCAGAACTTATTTAATTCCTTTACGTGTTTTTGTTAATAAATCACATGTTTGCAGGATCCAAAGAAGACAATCAAGTTAGAAACCTTTCAGGTCTTCAAGGTTTGTCCAGAATATCAACTTTTAACCTTTTAGTACAATAAAGATAGAACTATTATTAGCACTCAAAAAATCTCATTTTTCACTTCTCACAAGTGTATTTAAAGTGTGATTAATTTCTTGTTTTTGTTAATGACAGTTATTTGTTGCAAACCAAAATAAGCCTCCTGAGATTGTTAATGTACTTGTCACAAATAGAACCAAGCTTCTTCGTTTCTTTAACGACTTCACCATTGAGAAAGGTAGGGTTTCTTTTTGTTCGATTTCGTCTTTCTCCTTCGAACTCATTTTTAATAAAATCGAACTACAATTTATATGCAGAGGATGAGCAGTTTGAAGCAAACAAAGCTCAAGTTATTAACGAGATTTCTGTTCTTGAACTCAAACCGTGCAATCCCAAGATGTCATCACTCTTCAGCTTTAGAACCAATTGTGAGGTTCGATGCTAAAATTGTACGGTTGAGCCACAAGCCTTGTTTCAAACTCGGTTTGAAAAGAAAAACTGAATTACACTATCACTGACCAATTAAAGTTTTGTTTCCATATACCACCTACAGCTTAACTCCGTCTATTGTTCCGTCCAAAATGTTGCACTTGACCCTTTTTCAAAGATATTTTGATGTGCATTAAATTATCTCTAACATAGTTTTTTTTAAGGGTCATGGAAATTCAATATTTTGAACGAAAAAATAAACAGAATTAACCTTAGATGTTACGTTGTATCAAAACTTTAATTAAGATGATGGATGTGAGTCAAATTTTCTTTTCCCGAAGTAATCTGCAAATAGAGCCTATAATTTCATATTGTATTAGTATTCAATATAATCCAGTGTAAACAGAAGATGTAGCCCAATGTTGGACCTATCTTCTTTGAAATTCTAATAAAAGTATATATTTGTTCTCAATTTTGCATGAGAATTTTAATAAGCTGCATTTATTCCCTTCTTTCTTCTTCAAATATGTTAAACTAATGTTTCTATGTGATATTTGCAAATTAATATAACAATTCGCTTAATATTTTAGTTTAAATTACAAATTAAAACACTTCTATAAGTTCATATAATATTTTAAAGATTTTGCCTCCTTTTTACTTAGAATTCGAATTTGCTCCATCCTTACTAGGTAATGAGCATTACCTCTCATTTCAAATGTGACATGTGTCATTGGCTCTTAACTAATTTTATTTTTATATATAACAAAATAATTTAGAAATTAAATAACAATTACTTCCTAATTTGTACCCCTCAAATCTTGAGATTTTTTTTTTTTTACTGTATTAAAAAATAATAAAAGACAGCCACTTAGTATTACGGTATAGTGATATTCCTCTTCACTTATAAGTGAAAGGTCTTAAGTTTAATTCTCGCCAAAGGCAAATTTGAACCTCATTATTGCTAGCCCATTGTGAGGCAAAGTACACACCTTAGTGTAGATAATATTGTTTGTTAAAAAAAAAAAATAATAATAATAATAATAGAAGACGAAACAATCCTAAAGCTTTTCCTCCCCAATTTTGAAGTCCTTCCTAATTTAATCAAACTTTAGAAGTTCAATAACATAAAGAAAAAGAGGTTGATCACAACCACCGGCAGCGGCCATGGCTGCATCATAATTTCCTTTTAACCTTAGTTTTTTTAATTCCAAAATATTATGAAGAGGGAGAAAAAAAAAAAAAAAACAAAAAGATTTCAAAAGGGTAAAAATACAACATAAAAAGATCAGGATATGCGATTACTTATTGATGGGGGTCCCTAGATGGGTAAACCCTTAAAATGTTTCACACTAATAGTAAATCAACATTAATCTCAGCTCAGGTACAATAAAAACAAACCAAATGATTGGGAAAAGAAGAAGAAGAAGAAGCAATCCCTGACCAGAACCCACAACTTGGCCAGAAGATTTTACAGATAAACTTCTAGAGGGAAAAAAATATATATCAGTTTCTCTCTTTCTTTCTTTCCTTTTCTCTTTTTCTTTTGGGTATCGCCGCCTCACCGGAGATGCATGATACACTTCTGACTATATCCCGCAATCTGATTTTACATCTCACTCATAGACCAAAACAAAACCGAAAAACCCTAAAATTGGTAACTCAATGCATTAACACAAAATCCATTTTTAACTTCTAACTCTAACTTCTTTAAAACAGCCACTCCCAGTTAGCTCTTACTAACCAAATCTCTCTTACTGAGATATATAAACGGCGGTGGTGTGCAAAATTCACAGTTCGCCTGCTTCATTATCTTCACCTACAATGTCGTGACATCAGAAATGACGATCCTAGGCAGCAATTCCTGAAAAACAATAGGAACGGAACTTGTAAGTGTCGGCAGTCACAAATATAATGAAGTGAGCTACAACTTTTCAGTTATATACGCACATACACGCACGCACACACACTTTAAGTTGAACATAATAATATCAATGGCTCTGACTTCCAACAAAACTAAGCTATTAAAACAAAGATATTTGCAGTCTAACACACAAATTGCAAGAAATATTGAGTAAAACAGTATCCTAAGCAATACAAAATATCACCAACTTAGAATGGGCGCTCATACGAGAGATTAAGTTATGTAATTATAACGAAATGCTTTATCTTTTAGAACTGTTGCAAGATTCCAGCAAACAAGCAATATGCAGCCATCATAATCTAAGCTGTTAATTGTTCACTGATGGAAACACTGCACAACTAATGTGACCTCAAATCTGAAAAGATGAGGATCAAGAAATGATACTTTCAATGATAGCCTATTCTCTGTCCCTCTTATTTATCTCTCCATTGTTACTTTGATACACAGTCTTAATTGCAGCAGTTGAATGTCCATGAGACAGCATACTTTTTAGCCCAACTACATCTTCCCTCTCCATTTCATGCCCTGATTAGTGATTTTATTACTTAAACTGGCAGACGGAGTTTAAAGGTTGGGTACAGAGGTAATCGTTGCCATTTGGTGAGGAAACACACGTAGGCAAGAGAGAAAGAGAGAGAGAGCCTAGACACATTTTAACCATAGGCTGAGCTGAATTTGTATTTTATAGATTCAACAATCTTCATCATAGACTCATTTAGATTTCTAGATTTCTCATTTTCTTCCATAAAGGTAAAAGATAATACTCAGAGCATCATATTACAGTATACTAATCTGCAAGGACCTTGTAGCTCAAGTAGCATTTATCCCAACACCTTAGGTCTTGGGTTTAATTCCCCCTCCCTAAGTAACGCTTGCATAGAAACAATAAACTTACAAACCATTGAGTATACTTATTGTGTGCCAAAGGTGTAGGTAAAAGAAAGCTCATACTTTAATATGCATGCCTTCAAGCTCAAGTTATGAACATCAAGGCCACTTTACTAGTGAAGATAACCTACAACGAAGAAGGAAAAGAAGCAACTTTATTTTGTCAATGGCACAGATGCTGGATCTCAGGAAAGACAAGATGAACAAGTCCTTAAAACAACAGATATTTTCAACCATTAAGGGCTAGATATTTCAAAATAGAGAGATAAGCAGTGCAGCGGATTAAAGGGGAAAATACAATTTTATACAATTTCTCATACAAAAGAAAAACAAACATTTATGATCCAAAAAAAACACACGCCTACAGAGAAAAAAGAATGAACTTGCAAATCTGGTGAAAAAACAGGAAAACAAATAAACAAACAAACTCAATGTATTGGAATGAGAATAAGAGAGCAACATTCTCAAAAATATTCATATGCCTTTCATTCCGGCACATACGAGTCATTGAGGTAAGATGCATAATCTTCCTACCACATGCAAAAGGGAGCATAAGATAGATGCACAAGAACACAGGAGATCACATAATGCCTTATCAAGTATCAAAGCCATGTTAGAATATAAGATATTGTCAACTGTCTCCATGCCCCTACACACTCCACAATCAATAATCATTTGGGACCATCATCCCCTTAATTACTAAGACGTTGATAATCATATTAGTTATCAAGGAAGGGTCACTGACCAGCTACAACCTCCACCAACGCCAACAAAATACAAATAAACTGAATTGACCGATACAACAAAATTGAAAGCCTTTTCCATTAATAGTCCATCCCATATTTTCCCCATGCCTTTAGTAAACTTGCCAAAAATCCTAACAAACCTAGGACTCCAAAGCAATACACATCCTGACCATTATGTATAATCCTAATAAGGCAACTAAACAGAATTGAGTGTAAAACAAGCTAGAGGAATTGTGATGAGTCCAACCTAAGTCTACTGAACTGCTAACTAGACAGTCACCTAAATCAACTGCACTATACATCAGAAGCTGCAGCGCCGTTCCTTTCTTGGATGGTATGCTAAACTAAATATAATCCAATACTACAGTAATCAGCTCGATGGAACATCAGCTAGAGAAAAAATAGATTTCATGAACCTATTGCTTGGATGCAAAAATTCAAATCAGTTAAATATTGTGGATCAAGTGCAGCATAGCCAGCCAAATAAGCAAGCTCAATAAGGTAGTGAGATTATATGTTACCAATATAAACTTATCCAATTTTGTATGGAGTCTATGGACCCATGCGAATTACTAGAAAAAAGAAAGTTCCCTATATTTCTATTAAAATTAAAAATTAAAAAAATTAAAAAAAAAACTACAGAGAAAAACAAAAAAGATGAAAATATAAGTTACCTCAGATATTGATCCCGTACCTGTATTTGGCTGTCTCTTATTAACACTAAAACCACCAACATAACCAGGAGAACTTTTAGCTGATACATCAGAGGCTGCACCGCCAAGCCCATAACCAAAGGGACCAGGTCCATCTCGATCGGAATTTGATGAACGCCAAGTAGGATCTCCATATACTGAACCGCTACTGTAAAAGTCAGTGAAGGTCCCATCAAAACCACCATTTGATGCAGCAAATGAAGATGTAGGGGCCACACTTGCACCACTGTTTCTTCCATACCCACCAGTTCCCAGATTGTAACTGTTATCCCCAACTCCATAACCAAGATTCCTGCTATTGTTAGAAACATTATTTCCTCCGACTCGAGCTGACATTGCTGAAGAAGGCCAATTATTTGCAGTATTTCCAAACGTACTTCCTCCAATGGTTCCACTTCCTGATCCGACGTAAGCATTGGCATTTGTGGAGTTTGTTCCATAATTAAGACCACCCTCATTCCCATTCCCATTCTCCCACAAGTTCCGAGTCACTGAGCTGAAAAACGAAGATGTGTTTCCTCCATTACCGCCATCATACCCAATGGGGCTGCTAAACCTATTTGAATTATTGATATAATAAGGACTCAAACCCCGCCCATAGCTCATAGTACTATTAAAATTTGCATTTCCACTAAATCCTGGACTCAACCCTGGCTCGTAATTCATACCAATTCCATAACCAGAAGCATATGGAGGAAATCCACTTCGACCACCTGCAACTGGGCTGAATCTACCAAGTCCATAGCCTCCAACTGTACTTGGATTATACCCCTGAGTGTAGCCATTAAGGAAGCTATTGACCCTACCAAGACCATAGTTGTATCCTGCAAGAGGGCTGCGACTGGGACCAGGTGATAACTCTTTCGGAACTGCTCGCTTTACCTCAACCATTTTCCCGTTCAGTTCATGAAATGTCTTAAGCAAAACCTTGTCCACTGCCTCCTCTGAATCATAAGTGATAAATCCAAAGCCTCTTGGCCTCTGGGTGCTGTGATCATACATCACCACAACATCCGTGATTGTTCCAAACTGTTCAAAGTACTTCTTAAAGTCACTCTCCGTGACAGTGGATGCTAAACCTCCAACAAAAATCTTTCTTGTGCGACCTGGACCTGGACCTGGAGAACCCTGGATG